CTATGGGTACCCAATGCAGTACCTACATTAGTATAATTACTAAGAATTTTCGAAGTACCCATATCGGGTACCTTGCTGAGGCTTTCTCAGTACATGGGTACCTTGAACTCAGTACTTTCTCTAGGGTGATCCTTATATGCTTGAGAAATTCGGTGCTTTTATACAATAAAAAATGAAGAATTTCTTTATGTAGAAGAAGACGTTTGAGACGATCTTCCCATGTAGAAAAGCGAACATATTCCTACCTGAATTTCACACTTATAAACTAGGATCAAAACTACGTCGACTTTAATGGTTTATGAAATTTTTATACTAACTACAAAATGTACTTTAAATTTTGTCCAACATAAAAATATTTGCCGTCAATCTTTCTTAATAGTAATGTGTTTATTAGCACAATTGCAAAACTTTTAAAATAGAACATATCAGACATTTTTTCAAAAATACTACTTGCAGAATTTCATGTATTTAGAACAGTTTATTTGCTTGCTGATCATTTAAAATTTATATTTCATTTTCAATGACACAACGAAATCCATCGACATTACCTCAATGAGCCAAAAATATTTCAATTTTAGTATCTAACAACGTCACTACTTACATAGGTTATAAGTCTGCATAGGTTAAGTATTTGCCTAATTAATTCTTTGTAGATGCATATAGAGGTAAAAGTAAATACATTCCAATCTCGCTCTACCATTTACACATTACATACATCTTGTAAACCGACTGATATCCAAAAAAGGTAACTTTTTAGTAATTTTATTTGTCCTTGCCTTTTCCGAGCATATCATTCTTTTTTCTTTCTGAAAAGATGACTCATCATCAGCTAAACTGAAAACACCAAATTAGGAAGTATTAAAGAAAGCATCACAGTAGATATATATTCTTCACAAGAAGTTCTAACCGTCATATTCACTCAGCAATTATGGATGAAATTGATGACAGTTCGAACTCATTCTCAAGTGCTGATGAATTATGTGATTTAACACTAATTGTTGAAAACAAAAAGATCTATGCACATAAAGCTGTATTAGGTATGTAAGACAAATGGTATCATAATTATTTTTTTTGTTTTATTCATGTTTTATTCATTTTAGCTAAAGTATCACCCGTGTTCAATCGTATGTTCTGCAGTGGTTTTAAAGAAAGTTCAGCAAAGGAAATTACATTACCAGATAAAAAATATGAGGAAATTGTTGAATTATTACAATGTTTATATCCAAATATTTTAAAACCAGTCGATGGTATGTATACACCGCAGGCTACATGCAGTTTGTTATTATATAAAGATAGAACTATATTCGTTGAAGAACTAATAAACTGAACACTGCATTCTATGAAGTAAGGAGAAAGAAAAAACAAAAAAAAAAGAAACATTCGACGAGGATGAGATTCGAACTCACGCTCCCAGAGGGAAATGGATTAGCAGTCCATCGCCTTAACCGCTCGGCCACCTCGTCAAAGTAAAACATTCTATAAATAAATTTTGATAATACATTGATTCCATATTTTTAGCTGAAAATGCTCAAGTATTATTGTCTCTTAGTGAAGAATACGGTATTCTTATCTTGAAAAAACAGATTGAAAAATATTTCATTACCGTTGTTACTAATTCTCATGACTCAACAAAAACAAATTATGGTAACGCTTTAAAACTTAAAATCGAAAATATTTTAAATTTATTAATATTAGCTCAAATCTATCGCTTGAACAAACTTGAATTGGAAATAATTGAATTTTTAAGCGCATATGATGATGAACAATTAGAAAAATACGATGTTTATAAACAACAATTGGATATCGACTTTAAATTTAAAGTGTTGAAATTATTCAGTAAAAAGCAGCAAGATAAATTAAAAGAAAAAACAATAAAATTAAAAGAATTGGAAGATAAATGTACAAGACAAAAATTTGATATTGTAAGATTAACCAATGAACTAGACGCATTAAAACACATAGTATAATCGGACGGTGATTTAACTTTCGAATAATACAAGCTTTTTCTGTTATAAACAGTAAGAATAGACAGAATGTAGTGTCTACGATCTAATTTATATGACCACAGTAAAAATTTCTAATAGGTTGACTACATTTCACATCATAGGTTGATTACACCACATCACATTCACGCACTAGATCCAGAAAGTAGACATAGTCTACAGAAATATGGGCGAGAAGTATTTGAGAATTAATACTGGACGAGTCCTCAGAGGTACTGTGTCTGAACAGAGACATCTTTTGTGAATTTAATACTAGATTTTTGCATATTTCTCAGCTATGACACTACACCTAACCGGTATAGGCTTTCCTTGGAGCCTCAGGACTCGTACCCGGTGACTTTGTATAGTATTGAAATCGGATGGAGCATAGGTAATCGACAACGCTGAACCTTCCAGCAATGTTTGTTTTTGAAAACAAATGCAAAAGCCTGTGAAAATCGAGTTTATGAAAATCAGGGTTTCCAGGTTGCTTCCACCTAATACAAAAAAATTCACTATACATTCAAGAAACGTCAGAACGAGTTGAAAACTCCAGGATCTGATTAATTATGTCCGCTAAAGTTGAATATACCATCCGGAAATCACAAAATTGTGGATGTATTCATGGATTTTTTCTAGAAATACCTTTTACAAAAGAATTTTATAATTCTTTTCTATAGGTTTCTTATATATATATCATATATAATGCGCTAAATCCTGTACATCCTGGAGTTTTCGACTCCAGATACTAGTTGATCAAAAAAAGGTTTTCTCCATACTCAACTGGTTACGATGGACGAGTCATATTCTACAGTTTTTAATTGCCCATTTTTCTGTACCAAGCTTCATCCTATCTCTAGTCCAGATTTTGAAAAAAGTCATATTTCCGGAATTCTTAATGCATTTAACATACAGTCACAAAAATCACAATAAAAAATTTTCTCGGACGTTTTTAAGGCTAGAGAAATATGCATAGCATCGAGGGCAGATTTCGCTTAAAATTGGCCTCCGTCCTTTTCTATGTTTATCATGTTAGCTTTTTTTCTTGTATTCCGTTTTAATTCTATCTAAGTTGTCCTGGGTTCTTGGTACTAAAATGAAATAATTGCATAGTAGATAACGGAAGCGTAAGATCGTTGAGATCTACAATATCCATACGATTATATATCGATAAAATAAAAAACATTGAAGCTCGTGTAAAAGTGACAAGGTATATGAAGTAATTAAACGTTGCCGTTGCTATCATACTTAGCCACTGGCATGAACGTCTGTTTGCGGGTTGGAGTCGCTTCGACTGGGACGTATCACGATAAAATGTCAGTTTAAAGTTAGCACGAACAAATATTGATTAGTTTTAAACTAAAAACGTATCACAAAAATTATTGACTTAAATCAATCTCAGATAGTAACCAATTTATTTGCTTTTGAGTAATTCAACCAAAGAAAATGACTATTATTTATTGGATATAGGTTATTCTCTTTAACTAATATCTCATGAATCAATTGAGAGTGAGCAGTGAACCGTTGTTAGACAGAATCAAGTGTGTAGAACAACTTTGCAAGTAAAAATATTTTTCTTGCGACATTTTAGGTGCAAAAATCGAACGTTGTTTCAATTTGTCTGTTTCTGGTATCTATTTGTATAGAAGGTTCTTATTAGTGGCATATAATAAAAAATATAAAAAATGGAATTGAAAATTTTTTCTTTATGATGGAGAATGAGTACGTCATGTTATGACTGTCCGCAGTAAACATGTAAATACCTACTTTTTCTATCAGAGGTCGTAGACAAGTGTGCCAAGAGTCTAGTTCAAACTAAAAAGGTCAGTTTCTAGATAAACTTCTGGATAATTCTTGAAAATAATGTTTATTTTTCGTGCAAGTATGTAAGATTTGAAATAATTCTTGAGTTTAATTAGAAATTTTCTCAAAAGGAGAGAAAAGTCAATAAGATTCGATTTTTTCTAGGCATTTTGTATTTTGTACAATGTTTAATACAGTTTGTGGTAAAACTGATTTCTCTGAATCAAACCACTTGGTTTGTTCAGCATAAATAAAACTAAAATTGACATCTGCATCTAGGATCGATGCAACTTCTAGGTTTTACAAGAAATGAAGAAAATATTCGCCATGTTTGCGTAGTTTACAGCCTTTTCTATCCACTTGTAACAACAGTATGATTAGAAAACTTTAGGTTACTAAGAAAAATAATTCTCTCTTGATGGATAGCGCATTTTAACGTGTGTTTTGAAGGAAACTTTTTTATAAGCTTTATTTATTTTTATCAATAAAGATGAAACATCCACTTGTGACAAGAAAAGAGGAAGGTGGTCTTGCCACATCCTCAGGCGAACATACTCGAAGCTATCAGATATTGGATCTTAACCCTTTGGTTACCGACATAAGCGGAAATGACGATTTTTTCAGACTGATGATGCGAAAAGTGTTTCACGAAATGTCAAAAAATTATCAAAAAACGAAATGATTCAGCTAAAAAACATGTATTGTGAGTGATTGCGTTAGTTTCACGCAATGATAAAACTCATGACGCATATATGGGTCGTCTGTAAACCAAAGGATTAATATTAACTTTATTGTTAGATATTCTATAACAAGTGACTATTAAAGAAAAAACTCAAAAGTTAAAGAAGAATTACAAATACTGGACGAAAATGGAATGTTTTGAAAAAGAGAAGAACAAAAAAGAGATTCAAAAACAGATCTGATAAAAAACATTTTTAAAAAAATGATAAGATCTTTACGATCTCTTATGTTTATTTTTTCCTTTCTTCATCTCCGCTTGTTGTTGAGCAGCTATATTTGTTAAATTTAGTTTATTTAACACTTCATTATGATCTCGTTTCAACGTTGCTAATAGTCCATCTTTTAGCACGATATCATTATCAGATTTATAATCAATTGTTTTGTTATTTAATGTTGTCATGTGTCCATTATGTGCTCGTAACAATGCATTGGGTGCACATGTATCCCATTTTTTAATTGCTGTCACATGTAAATAGAAATCAGCTTGTTCTTCGATTATTTTCAACGTTTTATAACCTAAACAAAAATAATAGTTAGTGCACTGAATACCGATGACAAACTATGCATAGTACCAGAACCGGCCGCAGGTACAATTTCAAATTGTTCATCGGCATAAATCTTTTGTAATATTTTTTGAATATTTCCTGCATGAGAACGAGATACAATAACTTCGTGGACTTGTGCAATGTGTTTTGGCTGAGATAGATCTACCCATGATTTATCAACGCCGAACCAACCCCATACTAAAATAGTAAAAATAACATATTTTAGTGAAATATGTTGTCAGTTAGTTGATATAACATTATGAACAATAATAGCAGACAGTATAAATTATGAATGTTGTAGTTTTTTCTTAATGAGTCATTACAAAACACATTGTGCATTCTCCTTTCGAACGTCTTGCTTTTAGAACAAACACCATCATATTTTAATATAAACAAGAATATCATTGGTTCTAATAGAAATGGATAGTTTAATTAAGTTGATGTTATTCAAAATAGATTGTTATTTTCGATTTTTTATGCATCATAATCGCTTTAAAAATCTAATGAACAATCTCTGTTACAGTAACAATTTGATGTCTGGAAAACAAAATAGGACTGGTCCACATAAAAGTCAACTTTTATCTAAGTCCGTAACAGCTCTTTAGCCGAGAAACGTATAGAGTTGAGGAACGTCTCATTTTGTAGCTTAAAGATTTTTCTGTCAAATGGTAATTAAGCGAAGTCTAGTAGCTAACTAGTTTAAGTGACACAATTTTTTTGGTATACTGCACTTTCGTACAATAGGGGCTTATTGGCATGCATTATAGAAAAGTGTTTAGGGTAGAGCTAGACTATGCTTAATTACCATTTGAAAGAAAAATCTTTAAGCTACACAATAAGACGTTCACCAACTCTGTACACTTCTCTGTTGAATAGCTATGAATTTCACAAAACGTTATGGACTTAAGTTTTTTGGCTGGTACCTTTGGACACGCCGAATAGTACTGTAACCAACTTAGTCTGCTACACAAGCGATTTATAATGTTGTTAATAACTAACTATCGACAAAATCCAACACTTCACTTCCACGAAGTATCGGTTGGTCAGCGTCAATTTGACGGTTAAGATGGGCTTTGATAATGCGCTTCAGGACTAGTCATGTGAAGCGTGTTTCACAATGACTTGGAAAACAACAATCGAGTTTTCGCCTACAAATCTCGTTTGTTCACAGTCAAATGATGATGATGAATTACAGTTATCTAACAATGGCAACGACTCCTTTTATAAGTGTATAGAATTTATTAAAAAAATTGTACACTAACCGAATTTTTCAGTAAATGGAGCATATAAAATTCCGATTGTTGGTTCACCTTCGATGGCAACACAAAACATAACCATAACATAGTCAGTCAAATTTTCTAAAATATGGTGATTTGTCATTAGAAATACTAGATTAGGAACTTAATAGCCAACAACTAACCTGTGTATTCTTGTGTAGCATCGAGAGGATCAATCCAAACGGTCACAGATGATAACGGTACAACCATTGTTGTATAATCTCTTTCGATCGATGGTAATTTTGGCATATTTTTCAAGCGATTACTTGATTTGATCAATCGCATTTGATCGTCAGATATTGGATCTGATGGCTTTTCTTCTGATACAATCTATACAACAGAATTACACATATGACTGTAAATAGTAGACAGAAAAATTATAATACAGACAGATTATTCATGGTACTTTTATACTCACTTTTACTCTTGGAAATGTTGATTTCAGACCATTTGTTATTATTGCATGGGAAAGGAGATCAGCTATGGTGACCGGTTCCTTTGGTAAATTTTGAAATAGGTCTTTATATTGTTTATTAAATATAAGTGAATTATTCAGTTTTATATTTTTAATCAGTTGACCAGCTTTATAAGTTAAACGAAAACCTTTCATAAATAAATCGTATAAATCAACTGTTTCACCATTATCCTTTTCAATATAAGTTCTTGATGACAGACGTGTATACTGGTGAAGGAATAGCGTATATAAACAAATAACAGCGAACAATAAACAAATACACAAAATTAATCGAGTGGTTCCTGGATGTAAACGAACTTTAACGCCAAACATCGATATGATGTAGACCATGAATACAAATATATACTTTTAAGGTGGTTTTAACTGCATTCGCAATATATTAGAGCATCTAAAAAGAGAGAACAATATGAATGATTTCGAGGATGATCACGTTTACACCAACTGACTAAGTGATGAAAAATCAATATGAAATAAGTATGCACTTGTCATAGATCATCAATGGCTTATTTAAACCTAAAAAGTATCAAGTGCTACTCATGAATAAGTCACAAACTACTTCTTAACTTTCGTATACAATGATAATGGCATCAGCAACGTCATCCTATAATCCATTAACCAAAGAAAAACCTAATAATCAAAATTTTCCACGAACACTTCATTAAAAACACGATTAAATTTTATGCCAATATAATTATACATGTGCACCAATCGAGTTTCGTTTATTAACTCCAATTTCCTTCAAAACCTCATTGTGTTTGTCTTATTAATAAAGATGATTTTTCACTAACAAGTCTTTATTCAACAAGAAACTCTGATGGTTCAGTCCATGAGAACTTTTTCGATAACTTTATCGCGAGAAATAGCTGTGATATCTAGAGCAATATAAAAGGTATCGAGATGGCTGTCGATTTTATCCACCTCGATATTTACCGAGATAAATCGCGACTTGATATGTGTACGGATCTGTAATCATCGCAGGAACACTGTTCATCGCAGCAGATCGTTTATCGCGATAAACATTAGAACTACCATATTAGAACTGTAATATCCGGTAAAGGAATGGTAATCAGTTATCGTGAAATATTGACAGACAGGGGCGTACCTACTGGGAGGTGGTAGAGGGTGTTTACCAGCCCCCGTTTCCAGAAAAGTTTCTGTATTATGTCGTGACATAAAATTGGTCATATGATCTTATCGTGCAGAACACAAACATAACATAAATGAGCAAGGAAAAAGTTGCAGTCACTTGTGCGTCTTACTCGGTACTGTCCCTAAAGTTTCGTGCTTGAACCTAATCCCAAAACGTTTTTCTTTCGTTCTTCAAAAAAACATCTTTTTCTGGAAGAATGAAAACTTTTTTTGGCAATACCACCCTCCTGCTCTGAGATGCTAGATATGCTCCGGTGGGGCTTCACTTGAGTGCGTCTCATTTGAGTACGTTGCATTTTAGTGCGTGTTTTTTTAGCGCGTCTCATTTGAGCTCGTTCCCATTTTAGCGCGTCTCATTTGAGCGCATTCTCATTTTAGTGTGTCTTAGTTAACAGTCTTACAGATTATACAAAACCAGATTTGAGTAAGTAACTCTTATTATAATGATAAAGGAGCTTAAATCTATAAAACGCAT